TATATATATATATATATATATATATATATATATATATATATATATATATATATATATATATATATATATATATATATATATATATATATATATCATGAGGAACACATTAAATAATGTTTGTTGTATTGTCTGCGATGAAATACAAGTGAATTGAAGTAAATTTAGAAATCACTACTTTCTGATTTGGGGTTGATTGACACATCATTGATTAACTCAATTCCAGACATTAGAGTTAATATTGTACTCGTTGGTATTCATTGCCTAACTTTATTATAATATCCCTCTACAGGACCTTTAACATGCCCCTATTAGGCTGTTTTAAAGTTTAAAATTTGGATGTCACATGCATAGGTTTACAAAGTCAATCAACTGTGATTTTCTCCTAATTCACACTGAAGCATCAGTCTCAATTTGAAAGTCTGATCGACTCTGATTGGTCAGATGTGGTGCAGTCTGTTTTTTTCAGGTTTATGCTGTACCTGGGCGCTGGCGTGAAATGTAATCCTCCAGACGGGCTCTGAACGCCAGCTCTCCACCTTTACGGCCAGTGGTCCCGTCGTCCACCAGAAGAAAAGCCTTATGGTTGTTATCCAGATTGCAGGAGTCTTGGGTTGTGACCTTTGCAGGAAAACTTCCCTAAAATAAAGAGAAACACAGTTGGAATTCCTCAGTGATTCTCAAAATGTTCACAGAAAAACAAAATGTTTAGCTTTTGATTTTTTTATTTATACTATTTTGCAAAGGAAAACCTTTAATCATCAATTTAAGCAGATGTACTTAAAAACATAAAGAGGAAAACTTTAAGAATAACAACTATAAATGCAGGTCACTGGTTCAAGCCCCGGCTGGGTCAGTTGTCATTTCTGTGTGGACTTTCTCCCTGTACTGGCGTGGTTTTCCCACATGCGCTATACTGTAGGTGAATTGAAAAAGCTAAATTGGCTGTAGTGTGTAAACATGGGGCGACGACGTGGCGCAGTAGGTAGTGCTGTCGCCTCACAGCAAGAAGGTTGCTGGTTCGAGCCTCAGCTGGGTCAGTTGGCGTTTCTGTGTGGATTTTGCATGTTCTCAAAACATGCTGAATAAATTGGCGGTTCATTCCGCTGTGGCGACCCCGGATTAATAAAGGGACTAAGCTGAAAAGACAATTAATGAATGAATGTGTAAATATGAAAGTGTATAAGTGATACCCAGTAAAACATATGCTGGAATAGTTGGCAGTTCATTCCACTGAGGTGACTTCTGATAAATAAAGGGACTGAGCTGAAGAAAAATGAATGAAGGAACAATAAATGCCTAAATAGTAAAAAAAAAAACACACACACAACAAAATTAGTATAATATTCAATAATGATTGAATCAAGTGGTTCCAGATGTTGAGCATTGATTGAATAAAAAAGCCCACAGACACAGATATTACTCCAGACAGTAAAGTGTCCCCACAAGGCCTCTCTCTCCTCAAAGGGTGTTAGTTCAGCATCCCCTGTTCTTCCGCCTGTTCGGTCCACACTTTGACGGTGCGCCGCTGTTCTCCTCTTAACCTGCACCTTTACATCTGACCATTTCTTTTTTAATTTCCTCACAATGTGATGTTCTGACCCCGTGCACGTGCGATCAGTTTCATGTTAATTAACGGTGGGATTTTGCATATTTACAGCTTTGTCCGTAAGTAAAGTTTAAGTATGAATTTAACGCAAGACTTTGTACATGAGGCCGCTGGTATGTGGCCTTTATCAGAGTGTTACCTCTGAGTTGACGAGGTGCTGTCTGTTCTCCACCAGCCCCCAGGGAGCGATGCCTATAGGAAGCACTTTATTAAGTGTGATGGAGGAAACAGCAGTGGCGTTATCTTTCACAGCCTCTCCAATACACCGGCTGATACCCTGCCTCAGTCCACCAGTGATGATCCACGCTCCTGTACACAACATAAACACACAACGCTTTTACTTCAACTGAGCATATTTGAGTCATAATTATTGAGTATTAAATATATTTTTCTTATTTTTAGATGCATTTTATGCTGATTTTTATGTTTTAAAGGGCCATGAAACCCCTTCGTTTCAGCAGGGTGTTTTCACACCTCTACTTTGGAAAAAGTCAGAAAAGTGGGCGTGTCCAGCTCTGTTTAGGGGGGAGTGTCGGAGGAAGAAAGCGGCTTGGTATGGGAGTGTCTATTTGGGCGCGCTGAATTTCAGAGTCAAAACACACACCCACAGCGGACAATGTGACTGTGTTTACATGGACATCTGTAGTCGAATTATTTGCCAAATTATTAAATGGTGGACTTTAACTGCAGTTTGGCTCTTTCATTCAAGGAATTCATTAATGTCCCTCCCGACAAACGTGATATTGGATTCGAGGATCTGCTCTAAGCGTGTATTTTTCATGCAATGTTTGATACCGCACGGCGAATGAGAGAAAAAAAAATCAGCATTTCCCGGAAACTTAGATGCACACGGCAGGTAGCGTCAGAAAGCTGCGTGTGTTATTCCGGTCACAAAATCCAACACGAGGTAATAGTTTGGTTGTAACTGTTAGTGCTAGTGCAATAGTTTGTTTGATACGAATAAAATACGAACTGAATAAACAAAGAGCACTGGTCGCTCACTTACCAAATCTGTAGACAGGACAATCACCAGCAACTAGAGCCGCGTCTTTATTTAGAGGAGACTACAATCTCAGCGTTTGCAGATGAGAACAGCTCTCAGGTAAACAATAATCCTCCTTAGACATGTAAGTTATTGTTGTCGCGCGTCGCGTACACTGTTAATCCACACGTGACTCCAGCTGAGCTCTCACAGAGAGAAAATGAATACGAAACTTAACTGCAGCAAACTATAAAAGCAACACTTCACGCTTATTTTGCCAACACAACGTGGCGTCTTTGCCGTCTACACTGTGACAGTAATGAATATTAATGAAGTTGCACAATAGAGCGCGCTGATTGGTTTGAACCAAGCCTTACTCATGCATTAATGCATCACACTGTAAGACGTAATAAGACACACTCTGGCACAGACGTCCAGTCTGCACGCTGGAATACACGCTATTATGTCATGGCCGTGACGTAGCTTCAAAAATTCGTTTCAAACAGGAAGTACGAATTTGCTTGAAATAACGCAAAAACAACTAATTTACACTTTTTAGTGAAATATAGGTGTCCTAATAGTGTTTTTAGCAGTGTGGGACACATATACGACTGTCAACAGCTCAAAAAATGTGTTTTGGTGTTTCGTGACCCTTTAAAGGGATAGTTCTTCCAAAACTGAAAGTTCTGTCATCATTAGCACGGGGAGACTGTGTAAACTCTGCACAGAAACGTCGGCTGGCTTGGTAAGGACTAGAACCAGTGACGTTCTTGCTGTGAGGCAACAGTGCTAACCAAGGAGGAGGAGTAGGGGTGGAAGGGGGGATTCTTCAAAACGAAGATGGCTGTCATATGGAACTTGAGGTACTTATAGTGGCTCAGGAATCGTCTGATTGGTGAATCATAAATTGAATAATGCGAGGCCGGCTGCAAGCAATCATAAGCATGTGATCCTCTCGAAATTAGTTTATAAATAAACCTCACTTAAATTAAACTAAATTAACCATTTAATGAACTGAGGACATTGAGGCATGAAAAGCATGAATAAAGAAAAGGACATGAATGCTATTGTGTGTGTGGAGAGAGAAGGGACAGAAATACCTGTACTCTGTGCCGTTTTGACCAGCCCCTGTCTCAGGATGTCCAGCACCCAGCTCTTGACCTCTGACCTACCCTCGCCGCCCACCACTGACACCACCAGGTTAGGCTGTTGCAGCTTCCAGTGCTCCTTCATCAGGTCAAACACTTTGGCAGGATCTGTGGTGCTGGACAGACGCAGAAACTGACACACAGAGAACAAAAATCACTTTTACATGACAAAATACAGCCATTTCATCAACTAAGAGCAATTCTTAAAACCAAGGGGACGATTTTTATTAACACATTCTTATTATATTAAAGAAAACAAGCAAAACTATGTTAACCATGGCTTAAATGATTATTTTATTATTATTCTTTTAAGGTGAGACACTGCAATTTTTTCATGTACCTGACAGTTTTGAGGTTTTGGCCTTTTTGACTTTTAAAGTGTTTTTTTTTTTTTTGTCTAAAGCAAGAAAATCATTCAAAATACACTTTTAAATGCATGTAATTACACTGCTGTCTGGAAAACCTTATTCTGATTGATAAATGTTATCCCGAGATTAATAACACAGGCTCATCCAGAAATCACCTTGACCATCAGTGAATACGTTTAAATCCATATACTTACATCCATATTCATATGCATCTACTTGTCTGTCAGGCGTTTTGGTTTATTTTTTTTAATGTTTGGTACCATTTTGTAAATAAATATTAAGTAGGTCAGTCAGTCCATGATTTATTAAGCCATTTTCGTCACTGACTACGTTTACATGGACATCTGTAATCAAATGATTTGCTTTAATCTAATTAGGAGAATGACTAAGGTGTTTACATGAGTTGCTTTTTGAATGCTCCTTTCATGATCGCGTACATGTTATAGCACATAATTTGTTTAATGTGATTGCGTCACCGTGATAACCGCATTTCCGTTTCATTTTTAATTTGTCGACTTTAACTGCATATTTGGCACTTTCATTTTCATTCACAAACATTTCATGCATGTCTCCGTGACAAATGAGATATTGGATGCAACTATGAACTGCTGGAAGAGTGTTGTGTTCATGGAAATTCATACCTCATGCTGAATGGAAGAAAAAAACCTGCGTTTCACAATGCAGGTGTGTCTGTGGTCTACACTGACCCGGTAGGTGCAAAGAGTGTCAAACAGCTGTGTGTGTGTGTGTACTATCCTGTCGCATAACGCGGTGAAAAACCCTACATGATGGTAATAATTCAATTAAGGTGTTTACATGCCTGTACTGAATGCAATAATGCGACTAAAATCGGCATACTCCACGTCTTAATTTGATTTCTCTTTAGTTCGATTATGACCTTAATCTGATTAAATTATTATTATTTTTTTTAAATCGCTGTTTACATGGTTAACTCTTAATCAGAGTATTGTCTTAATCTCATTAAAATTGAATTATTGGTGTCCATGTAAACGTACTCATTGTCATATTTGTGTTTTTGGCACCATCTTGTGACTGCCCTTCTGAAGAAAAAAAACAGCATACTGATGCTGGTTTGCTGGTCTCAAACATTGACTGTAAAAGATATGGATGTAGTCTCTGTGATGTCACCCATTGGTTTCTGAAGAACCCAAAAGAAGCTACCAGTAAGTGTGGCTAACTGTCACCATTTTGTTTGCGTGTAATCACACTGATCGGGGGTAACCAAACAAGGGCAAAGAGGCGGAGCGTGAGCAGAGCTACAGACTTTCAGACAGGCTTTCCTATGGGAGAAACGCCTAATACTTCATTACCTGCGATTCGTTTGTATTCTGACCACATGTACTTGGTTTTATACTATATCAATAAAGTGTTTAGATTTTTAAAAACACTGCTGGAACACATCGAGCCACTAAGCATTGTGCTTATGATGTTTTTCGACAGGATGAAAATGCGAATTGCAGGGATGCAGGGATATTGATGAAATCCAGGCATAACACTGTATGACAACGCTTCAGATCACTGTTCTAGAACCTACAGCTAATCAATCTGTCAGATTCTGGAGTGCATTACAGGTCTAAAGAAAAATATAAATGATGAATGATCTTAAATTATTCAAATACATTTATAGAGATGGTATATAAGTAGATAATTTCACTCACTTGGAAAACGGAGGCCACGTGAATGGTTTGTGAGCACAATTAAATGCACACAGCGTGCTATATTCATCTGATAATTATAAGAAATTATTCCAAAAGGCGACTGACTGTGTAAAACCACATAAAACAACACAAAAATACGATGTATATGCCGAGTTCAGCAGCTAATCAGCCGGAATCAGCTGAAGTGAAGTGACTGGGACCAGCGAGACCTAGCTGTCACTCAAGTGGCCACGCCCTTAATTATGCAGACTTAATGAAGCCTAATATAAAGGAAACAGATGAGTTATAAAAAAATTCCACCCCCTCACAGTTGTCATGAAGGTAATATTAGCTATATGAACCAAAACCGTTTTTTGTACCAGGCTGTAAACACCTTTATTCTGCTGTAAAGTTGGCCATTTTAACAGTGGGCTCAAAAGAAATCCGCTTTATTATGGAGCCAGGACTAGCGGGATTTCAATGAATTGCAGTTTAAGTTACTTCCGTATCCGCTTCACCAGGGGGAGCAGGAAGTTGCCGCTTGTTCTGAAAGCTGCTGTTTTTTTCAGCAGTGTGAATAATGCACAGGTAGTCCGCTTTTTAGGGCTTCATTAAAAAATTATTAAACTATTACAGTTTAAAACAACGTGTTGTGTCTAATTTTATGTTTTGTGGCAAGTAGCCATGTAATAAGCGGGATAAAGTACATCCAAGATAGTACTCCAGATAGTAGTCCAGACTTATACAACTGTTCTCTACTTCTGCTGATAAGCCTGTCAGGGTTTATTCTTCGACAACAACCTCCTGGATGTGCTTCATCTTTAACTTCAAGTTTTAACTAGGGATGCTCCTTTCGGTTAATTTTGCTAACAGACAACCGCCGCTCATTAATCGGTTATTAACGGTTAACTGGTCAGATTACTATAAATTTTATATTAAACAAATTGACAGGTCTATTTTGTATCTGACACATTAAATATTGCATTTTAAAATACTGATTTATTTTTATATGCCAGCATATAAATAATAGAACAATACGACAGAGCATTTTCACACACCTGCAGTGTTTAGCACAGAAGAACAGAATAAACTAAATAAAATGAATAAAATAAACAGGACTGCCCTAAATTATTTACACTTAAATAATTAATTTTTATTACAAAACGAAAATACTGACTGATTCTTTTTAATAATCGGCATAGGCTGTTTTTTTCCAATCATGTTTTTTCTTCCGTCAAATAAAAATCGCTTCCTCAAATCACTCGCTCCACGGAAAATGTGCATTTATTTAATGCCCCGCTGTTATTATTATAATCACAAACCCTTTTACATTTTTAATAGAAATCATTATTTTAAAGATTATGTCTTGACATGTGGTTTCCTCTATCTCCCTCGCGGTTCAAGTGCGCGCTGCGTGATGAAAAGACAACAATACGTGCACATATGTCGACTTTTTGTAAACAGTTTTGTTGTTTAAATATGATATTGCATTAATGTGCATACATGCTTTATAAGCTGTAAAATAAAAGGTAAAGCCTATGTGTTGCGTTTATGACGCAGATCCAGGTCAACATAAGCGCTGGTTAGCATCAACACGTCTGTATCAAACAGCCATATTCTTCTTCCATTTTGCTTCTTTGGCAAATGTGTCTGTAGGCACGGGTTATACGTTATCGTCCCGCAAGTTAAATATGTCTTGCAGTTGAACAAGGGGCCGAAAACAAGGCGCATCTCACTGCCTTTATGTTGACAAGGAAAAAAGAAGGGAAGAAGCGCAGCGGGTCCTCTTATGAAACGACTGGATCAGCTGGGAATCGATTATGCAAAAGTGTTGCTGTCTGTGTTGTTACAATTGTAATATTTAATAATATTGTGATAATCAAGATTTGTACATTCATACAGCTCTGGATAACTTAAAACAGCAATTAGACCTTCAGAGCGGTGTAGCGTCTTGAAGTAAAGCGAAACGGCTATAAACTCCAGCAAGATAGAGTCATTATATACAGAGCCATATACCTTTATCTATAAATAAAATATAACTATAGAAACTGTGTTCATCTTAACTGAAAGCTTCTGCGTGTTTGCTGGCCTCACGCATCGTGCACCTGTCAGTCAGTCAGTCAGTCAGTCAGTCAGCACGTAACGCCAAAGGATTAAACAGATAGCGCACAGCACTATCCGGTTACAGAAAAGCTTCTGCTGTTATAATCCACTTACCTTTTAAAACGTTTAATGCGATTATAATTCGCTATTAAAAACAACAACAATGACTGAATGTTTTGAATGGGTAATGTAGCCGTGGAGGGATGCATTTTGGTCCCCGCCAATGAAGAATGAATGCAGCGGAAACCAAGCTCTTCAAAACTTCTCTGTAGTTGTCTTGACAACACAAACTGCTGCTCTGGGATGAGCCGCGTGCAAAAGATGCCCCTCTTAACGCAAAGGCGCATTCAATCGGCTCCTTAAGCAGCCAAACTAAAAGAATATAAAATAATAATTTTAATCGATTAACTGATAGCATTAATCGGTTACAAACGCACCATTTGGGTTAACAGTTAATCGATTATTTTGAGCATCCCTAGTTTTAACATTAACCACTTGTGTTTGGGTTAGTTTGACAACAAATCCCCACTACCCAACATCATTATACAGCACTGAAGAACCAGGATGAACATTTAAACCTACTCTGTGTTTATCTAACAGAAAAAAAAGGGTGAGTAAATTATGGACTGTTTTTTCATTGTCATTCCCTCAAGTAAATCATTTTAATAATTATAAAGACAAGTGGTGTAAAAAAAATCTGGGAATGAATTCTGAATTATATATAAAGAGTTTATCATGCAATAGAAAATGTTGTTCTATAAATGCCAAATTTTACTCAAATCAATTTAGCTGTTTTTTTTTATTAAATGTAATAATTGCATTATTTTCTCCTCAGAATTAAACATTCATAAAATATGATTCAATTAATTCATAAATTGTAAATTATAATATAACTGTTTTGGCACTGATGTGAACTTACGTAGCTGTCTCTTTTCCTACTGTTATTGAAGTCCAATTCTCCATAAGCGTCAGTGGGCTGTTCAGAGGAGTGCTGAGTGCTGAACCACTGACTGACCACTGCTGTGCTGAAGTTATCGCCCAGTGCCACTGATGGGTGATGGTCTCGTGCCGCCCCGCACTGACACAGACCTCCGTTACTACAAAACCACATGCAATGTAAAGTATATTTATTAAAATAACTCAAAAACATACAGTCAAAAGGCAGGTAATATAACCCGGAAACATAACAGGAAGCATAAACAAACATAAATTTGAAAACTGACAAACACTGACTGAAACAAAAGGACTTAAAGGTCTGCCATGAAAGTTCAAATTGTCCTTTTTTCCTCTATCATGACATACACCATATCTACTGTACCTGGAACAGCCCTGAAATGAGAAAAAAATAAATGCAGGACAGTGCAGGATTTCGCCCTTTGGGAACCAACTGGATTGTTGGAAGATGAGTGTTGCTAACTAAATGAAAGACAAATAAAGATATTCAGAGCAGAAACGAGACACCACCCACTGATAGCTCCGCCCTAAATGGCTGATAGCTCTGCCCTAAAGGACTGATAGCTCCGCCCTAAAAGACTGATAGACCCACCCTAAATGGCTGATAGCTCCGCCCTAAATGACTAATAGCTGCACTCTAAAGGACTGATAGCTCCAACCTAAAAGACATATAGCCCCACCCTAAAGGACTGATAGCTCTGCCCTAAATAATTGATAGCTCCACCCAAAAGGACTGATAGCTCCGCCCTAAAAGACTTATAGCCCCACCCTAAATGGCTGATAGCTCCACCCTAAAGGACTGATAGCTCTGCCCTAAATAATTGTTAGCTCCGCCCTAAAGGACTGATAGCTCCACCCTAAAAGACTGATAGCCCCACCCTAAATGGCTGATAGCTCCACCCTAAAGGATTGATGGCTCCTCCCTAAATGACTGATAGCTCTGCCCGAAATGACTGATAGCTCCGCCCTAAAGACTGATAGCCTCACCCTAAATGGCTGAAAGCTCCACCCTAAAGTATTGATAGCTCCGCCCTAAATGACTTATTTAATTTTTTTAAACCCATTTTAAGGACAAAATTATTAGCCCCTTTAAGCTATATATTTTGTCGATAGTTTACAGAACAAACCATCGTTGTACAATAACTTGACTAATTACCCTAACCTGCCTAGTTAACCTAATTACCCTAGTTAAGCCTTTAAATGTCACTTTAAGCTGTATAGAAGTGTCTTGAAAAATATCTAGTCAAATATTATTTACTGTCATCATGACAAAGATAAAATAAATCAGTTATTAGAAATGAGTTATTAAAACTATTATGATTAAAAATGTGCTGAAAAAAATCTCCGCTAAACAGAAATTGGGGAAAAAATAAACAGGGGGACGAATAATTCTGACTTCAACTGTATACTTACTTTCCCTCTCTTTGTTATAGTTTTACAAAAAAGAAAGATACCAAGAAGAAGTCAGTAAAGTTACCCACACTGTTTCTGCTGTTCTTCCGCTACCTGTTAAACTTTTAGTAACGCAACAATTGGTTGGGGCAATGATAATAAAAGTTATTATTATTCTATCATAAATATTTAAATGTCAAAATGCTCATTTAAACAGCCGCAGATATATTTCAGCAGTTGTGTGAAGCAAAATACGTGCTGATTTGTGACAGGTAATGCTTGAATTATAAACATCACGTCTGTTGTCCTGAGACGCACCAATTACATCACTTTTTTCCTGTGCTTGAATGTTAAAACGGGCCTACCATAAATTGTCAGTCACTAAAATGGCCCCCCGCTAATTTGAGTTTGAGACCCCTGCTATAGAGCATTTGATTGGTCAGAAAATTTGGTCAGAAGCTATGAGGCGATGCCAAAATATCTTCTAAATGCAGATTCTGTCACTGTTTTAGAGCACACTGGCTTATATATTCTAAAAAATGACATTCAATTTCACTGGACCTTTAAATGTTCTACAATGTGGAAGATCTGAAGGTGAATAAATGCTTAATGTATATTGCTGTTGGTAAATAAATTACTTGTAAGATTTTCATCATATCACCTTCTTGTAATAGTGTTAAATATTCATGGTTACAAAAACAAAATGGCGACACAGTGGCTCTTAGGACTGTCGCCTCACGGCAAGAAGGTCGCTGGATCGAGTTCCACCTGGGTCAGTTGCTATTTCTGTGTGGAGTTTGCGTGTTCCCCTCGTGTTGGTGTGAGTTTCTTGAGAGCTCCGGTTTTCCACACAAAGACCTATGACATGTGCTATGGGTGAATCAAATAAAATAAATTGGGTGTAGTGTGTGTGTGTGTGAATGAGTGTGTATGGGTGTTTCTCATTGCTAAGTTGCAGCTGGAAGGGCATCCGCTGTGTAAAACACATGCTGGTTAAGTTAGCGGTTCATTCCGCTGTGGCAATCCCTGATGAATAAAGAGACTAAGCCGAAGATGAATGAATGAACAACAACTAAATATCCCCATGATTTTTTCTCACAATCAAGCAGTCCTAAACAAGAAAATCTGAAAGCCAAGATCTTACCTGAAGGAGTCCTCCACAAACGTTGTGCACAATCTCTTCTTGAAGAAAGTTGGAATCCAGCTCTAAAATCAACACAATTGAGTTTTAATTCAATGTAAACATGATGCACTGTACACTCTCACTATATCTCCAAGATATAGCGGTAGCAATCATTAAAGATGCTATTGGAGATTGATATATATGGCTGATTCCAGCGTTATGGATGACATTTGCAGAAAAATTCAAAACAAAAACAAAAAATTCGCAGAGAAAGTATACGTTAACATTGTGTTGAATCATCTGTTTATATTTTCCAAAGCAACTAACCACAGAGTTATGGGATCAAAAAAATTCAATCTGTGAACATTTTTATACTTTAAATGAGGAAAATAAACAAGCGTTATGGATGTGACAAAAAAAAGTCTGCGAGTTTACAGTATACAACATATTTTGTAGAAATTCTGTGAATTAAACAGCACAACCCAAAATAAATAATGCTCAACAAAAAGGATAAGAGTTGACTCTTTATTAGGGATGTAACGGTATTGTAAATACCGTCATACCGCAATATTAATTTTTTTCGATATTACCGTAGTCGCATGACTCGGTAAAACTATAGGTCTTCTGAGAAAATTTGCTCAGGCGAATGAAGCGAACGGGAGGTAGCGAAAACTACATTTCCCATCAGCCCATGCTTGACCATCAGCCCTTGCGGTCTGTTGTCGCTACAGATCCAGTAATGCGGAAATGGAGTGTGCTGCTAGAAGCGGGCATCAAAAAGAGCTGGAAAACTCTAAAGCGGGTGTTGTCGGCGCGCGCGTACTGAATAGCGGTGTTGTCGCGCGAGTTCTTATCAGCTGTGTTGTCGCGCGCGTACTGAATAGCGGTGTTGTCGCGCGAGTTCTTATCAGCTGTGTTGTCGCGCGCGTACTGAATAGCGGTGTTGTCGCGCGAGTTCTTACCAGCTGTGTTGTCGCACGCGTACTGAATAGCGGTGTTGTCAGCACACTGTTCAGATTGATGCAGACATGAGACCTCTATCTTACACATGGTTTGTCCTCCCAAGTGGGGGAAAGACAATGCACAACGTTACCCACTGCTGTCAACCTGGGCCAAGTCATATCTCTCTTGTCCCAGAAACCTCAGTCCCAAATGAGAGGGTTTTTTTCTGTTGCAGGGGACATTGTAAATGCCCAGAGATACCAGCTTTTACCAGATTATATTTATATGATAATTTTCCTTTAAACCCATCTCTATCTAAGTGAGTGAGTGATTAAATGTTGAATGTGATGAGTTTTCAACAATAGTAAATTGAAACTTTATTTTTTTACATGGTTTAATATTTTTTTGTTATTAAAATTGAAGTTCCTGTTTCAAAGCTTACAGATAGATGGCTAATTTGTATGTCATTGACACTTTTGGCACTTTTTTGGAGTATTTTCATGAGTTTTGTTTTTTCCTGTAAATGATTCAATAAATACCGTACCGTGACGTTCATACCGAGGTATTACCGTACCGTGAAATTCTGATACCGTTACATCCCTACTCTTTATAGAACAAAACTGATTGATTTTATTTTATTTTGACATATTTGCATTTTTGAGGGAAAAGCTTTGTTATGGATGTGACACTTTTTCGTTATGGATGTGATGGATGTGAAATTGCCATTTGTTTGACTTTGTTAAATCAAATATAATAGTTTGAAAACATTGACAGAGACATTTTTAAGTATTTTTAAAGTACTGTAAAACACTTGCCTGTGCAAAAAATGTAGAAACGGTTTCGCTATTTTGGCGAAAACATTTTTCTTTTCATGGCAAGGTTGACATTTTCATGGAATTGCTCACATATATAGATTGATTGATATATATATATATATATATATATATATAGATATATAGATTGATAGATAATATATTTATAAATGATACATTTTAATACAAGCATTATTGTGCTGTCAAGTAAAATATTAAATTGTTTATGGAAAGCATCGTCAATGCACCATGATGCATTGAGATATCGAATTAAAGCGAATCGATGGCATGCTGATCTTAACCCAACCGTGAGACAAGTGTAGGTTCACACCCCTATCTGACAGTGTGTGCCTTTGAAATCATCTTCATTATTAATGTCAAAACACTACAAATGTAAAGCTGCGAAAGGATTTCAGATATCTTAAATAGTGTTGCCATGGCAACAACTCAAACTTTTAAACCATTTTCAGACGCTTTAGAGGCTCAAAATTTCATTAAACTACAAATCAGATATAGACATGGGTGTGGTCGAAGCACTTGCTACTGGCACGTTTGTTTTTTGTTGTTGGTGTTTTTTAGGGTTGCTCAAAAACAAAGACTACCAGAGTGTTTGATGTTTGTGCCCACGGTGCATTGTTTTCCTGAAGCCAGCGCCAGTGGCAGTTCCACTGGGGATTAGGCCCCGCAATGCTGCTTGCAGCTTTAATTTCGTAATTTCTTCTCAACCCTTCCCCATTCATAAGGACAGCAGGAAAAACCAGTTCACTCTTTACTGAATCACTTACTTATGACCAGGGACATTTATTGCTATCACTTCACAGAATTTCGTACAAAATCTGCAGATTTATGCAGAATCTTTTAGAGAGTACAGTAGTATGAAAATGAAAAAACTTTTAAACTTTTATTTAATAAGAATCATTATTTAAATTAGAATCCAGTAAGAACCACTTCTTTGGAAAACAAAGTCTGTCATTTGATATATCTACTGAAAAAAAAATGAAAATATTTATTTACAAACTGTATTGTTCATAGACAATGTTCAATTTTATTACTGAAATTAATATAAATAAATGAATAAATATGTAAATAAATAGATTTAACCAAAATCTGTGGATATCTGCAGATTTCTGGTCTGCTCATGATGACTTGTTTAGACCATGAATTGTGGGTTTTTAATTCAGTTTAATTGTTAGTGTTTGGTCACAAACTTTATTAATGCACAGTACAATGGGCTACTGATGTTAAACATGTCTTCAGATGAATATATAGGAGGTTAGAAAGAAATTACATATGGACTTCACACTTAAAAAAAAGTAAAACCGAATCCAACTCAACTCAGCTGTCCATGACTAAAGACTTCAAAGCTCAAATAGATTTCTTTTTACATTCAGTTCTAAGCATCAATACAATTTTTAATAAAAGTATTAAGATTGCAATTGGCTGTTTTTAACTAAATAAACAGCACATATTAACACAAACACGTCATTAACTGTTCATTAACCGCAGTAAATATGCCTGTAGTAATTAATGTACTGTAACATGAACGCTATAGTTAACAAAGCGTGGTCTGTAATAACAAGCTAGCTGTCTCTATAAAGAAGCAGAAAGCAGCACATGACAAACAAGCACATGCACAGCCTTGCATTTTGGTATGTTGTTTTGAGAAACTCCCAGAAGTCTTCCTCGTTGCCAACAATAAATCGAAACAAGAAGCTTCGGCAAAGTTGAAGCGGCTGTAATCAGTTTTCTGTCAGACTTACTAGATCTTTCGGCATCACGGCCACTCCGCCCTCCTCAATGTCCTTCTCGTTCATGGTGGTGGTTTTAGGATCTTATCAATTCCCTGTTTGTTGTGAGTTTTCAGTTCACGGTGCTCTGTGTGTGTGCGGTACAGCCATAACAGCCGGGAAGGAGGAACTGCGGGCCGCTGGAGACTCTCTGCGAGTCAGGTGTGCTCAGCGCTGGGTGTGGCGGTTGGAGAGGCACGTGAGAACGGAACAAGGCGAGACGGTAAACTGAGTGGAGTTTGCCTCAAGCACATGTACGCTAGAAGTTTGTGTGTGTGTGTGTGTGTGTGTCTGTGTGTGTGTGTGTGTGTGTGTGTGTGTGTGTGTGTGTGTGTGTGTGTGTGTGTGTGTGTGTGTGTGTGTGTGTGTTTAACATATCAGGACAGGTGCATTGGGTAACACTTTACAAAAAGGTTGTTTTAGTTCATGTTAATTAATGCATTTACTAACATAAACAATGATCAATACATTCATTACAGTACTTGTTCATGTTAGTTATGAAAATAAGGTTGTTCATTATTAATTCACTCATGGTGCAATGATGTGTGAATTTATTGAACTTAATTAATTTATTGTGTTTGGCCATACACAATCATGTTCCATACACAATCGCTTCACAATCATGAGGGGGGTCTCTCCCTCACCACCACAAGTGTGCAGCATCCACTTGGATGATGCAACGGCAGCCACAGAACAGCAGCAGTGTGCCCACCAGGGGCAAATTGGCCATAGGGAGCACCAGTAGCCTGACGGTCTATCTTGCCAGCCACTAACCTTTCATAAACATCGTGCCCCCCCATCCAACTTGCATAAACATACATTACCCCCCCACACACACTTTCCAAAAAACATCACGCTTCCAACCCCCCGACTATTCACAAACATTGTGTTCCCCCCCACCCCACACTTTTCATAAACATTGCTCTTCTTCCACTTTTCATAAACAGTGTGTCCCCCTACTTTCCATAAACATCGTCTCCCCCCCACTATTAAAAAAAAACATCGCTCTACCCCTC